GGGCCAGCTGCAAGTTTGTTAGGTAATTTTCATATTGCAAAAGCCTCCGTGCACAGCTTGGGCTGGGCAGGGTCCCAGGAGATCAATAGGGCGGAGCAAACACCTATGACTGATCATCAATCCTTCCCTAAGAGGCCCTGATCTCAGTGTCCTAGTAATCACTGCAAGCACCTCTGAGAGAAAGCTGCCCTCGAGATGCCAACTATGCCAGACAGTCTAGCCCAGGGGTGGGCAAACTTTTTGACTTGAGGGCCACAATGGGTTCTTAAACTGGACCGGAGGGCCGGAACAAAAGCATGGATGGAGTGTTTGTGTGAACTAATATAAATTCAAAGTAAACATCATTACATAAAAGGGTATGGTCTTTTTTTTTTTAGTTTTATTCATTTCAAACGGGCTGGATCCGGCCCGCGGGCCGTAGTTTGCCCACGGCTGGTCTAGCCTCTCCCCGTATCAGTCAGGGTCCCCTGAGACTTGCCTGGAACTGGAGTTCAGAGAAGTAGGGAGTTTGAGACTCCCTCCCAATTGAAAAAGCCAACGGTGTCCTTAGCCAACCGCCCTTTCGTGTCCGCCTCCGTACCTGAGCACTTAACTTCTGCACCGCAGCTCCTCTGATTCCCGGTATGCTTTTCTCTTTCCTTCTAGTTGTAGTATTTCACTCAGCCAGCCTTCCTGTGGTTCTGGATGATGCCCATTCTGTCTTTCAGTTGTATTCTTGAAGTGGTTGTGCGAGGCAGCAATCTCCAGTGTTTACCTATGCCGCCATCTTGGTTTCTCTCTGCAGTCACTTTTATAACGGGTTGATCCTCATGCCGTCAAATGAATCTGATAGATCACAGGTCACATCCTCATACATCCTTGCTACAAAGGAGTCTGGGAAGGTCCATTTCTTGCTTCCCCATGGCAGAGGGGAGGGAGTGGAGGAGGGGTGTTCGTAGATGGTGGGCAGCCACAAGACATGACAAATATCCACTGGATGGTCTATATTTTAGTTTCTAAGGCAAAAATTTTAAAAATGGCTGGTGTAGATGATCTCTAAGTTCCTAGTCATGCTGACATCATTATTATCATAAACTAGTTTAATGAGTTATTTTCAAAAAATCTTTATTGTCAAGAGTATTACAGAGATCTCCCTTTTTCCCCCCATTACACCCTCCCC